AAGATGAAACCGCTATTGATGCTCCTGTGAGGTTGACAATGTTTTCCAAGCAATTTCAAGCAGTTCTTTTATGACATATATGTCATCATTGAATTCTTTACCAGAATGAAAACTAAACTGGGTCGTGAGTTGACTTTCATAAAACGATGATAGCCTAGTTAATATAATGTTTATTAATACTTTCACCATAATAGAACTAACTGAGAAACCTCTACATTTTTTATTTCCTTTTTTAATTGTTTACTATTTTCCCTTTTTTTTTACTTCCTTTCATATGGTTTGAAATGGTTCTATACTGAGGTCCTTGTCAGACGTAAGATTTTGCAGACCGATAAAGTTCCACTGTTAGATTGATGCATTCAGTAAATTTGGAACTTGGAAGGCAGTTTATGAAGGACAAGAATAGGAAATCTCTATTGATGTGGTCATACACTGCTGTAAAGTCAACATAGCAGGTATACAATTTTATGGAAGTGTTTAATCACATATATGCCATCATTACATCCCTTACCAGAATGAAAACCAAACTGGGTTATGATTTTCATAAAATGATGAGAGCCTAGTTAATAAAATATTCAATAATACTTTCCCCATAATAGAACCAACTGAGAAACCTCTGTATGTGTGAGGGTCTTGATGACTACCTTTTTCTTTTTATAGTGCATTAATGCATGATAAATCCCACTTTTTGGGGATGCATTTCTGATTCCAGACTTTCTTCATAAAATTGAGAAACCTTTTATTGAATTCAAGGACAATGTAAGCTATTTTCAAAAGTTTAGCCTCAATGTCAAGTGATGTTTTATTATTCTTTAGTTTTTCTAGCTTTTTTTTTTGTGATGACTTACCTTGGAGCTCGAAATGTGTGTGAACATGTCTTGCTTGCATGATAAATCCGAGAGAGAACATGGCCGCTGTCGAAGACGCGATTAATACGCGCTGGTCTCATCCAAAACAAGATTGTACCAGTACACATGCAATTTCAGCAGTGTCGGACTAGCATAAAAAAGGCGAGGCGCCAGTGGCACGGCAGACGGCGAGTCATTTGGCGGACTTTGTGAAACAGAGTCGGACGTGCGAATAGACTGGCAGACCAAGAGGCGGTTGAAGTAGGCGTGTCTGATTTGGGTTTCCGTTTCACGACTGCCCGGTGTAATGTCCGAGAAAAGGAGTCTCGCAATTCGTTTCTTTGAGGCGATCGACGGCGAAGAAGAACAGCTGGTTTGCCGGCGAACCCTCTCGTCACTTTTTTGCTTTTTCTCTCTCTTCTTTTTTCTACATTTTTCATTTCCTCATTAGTAGTTTCATTATTATGTTTGGAGACAGACTTTGTAATGCTTGGATGAATATCAGGATAAGTTCCATTTCTTTTAGTGTGGTCAGTGTTGAAATGTGATGCAAAGTTTTTGGAGACCAGGACATTTCTTCTGTGTTGTTTTTTTTTTATTCTATCACCTGTAGGTTCGTTATTGTTTATCTTTGGAGACGCACTGTGTAATGATTGGGTGTGTTCTGCTTCTAATGGCCATCTTAAGGCAAAAATGTATTTAAACTTCGAGGGAAACGTGATTTGGGAAAGACATCTACAGGTTTCAGTGGATAGATTGTCTAAATTACGTATAAATGAAAATATCACTGACATTTTATTTTAACAGATATATTTACCAAGATTACACAAAAATATTTTGAAATACTAAAGAGTAAATTTATTCAATGAAATAGCCATTGACTTCAACTATGGCCTCCAGCAAATCTGCAATCTCCTTTCTTTTGGAAGATCTTGTTTAAGTTCGTGAATGCTGTTATAATCTTTGATTCAGTTCATCTTTGTTGTTACAAGGAACAGCCATGATTGGTTTCTCCTGTTTGTGTGGCATGTTGCAGATTCCTTTTGCCAGACATAGGGCAGCACTACTTCCTCAAGGCACTTGATGAAGGCCTCCATGTTGAATATCAAGCTCCTTCAGAAGGTGAATGGAGGCATAATGTCACCATTACTACTGATCACACCAAGACGTTGACGGGATATATCTCTTTCCGAATCATCTACACAGTCTTCATATTGACACACAAACATGCTTAAATGTATATATTGGAGCTTCCAGTGTACAAGCAATACAGCATGCCGTTTCCAAATTTCTAGCCTGGTGAATTGTGTCATAGTGCTCTTTTTCACACAGACGATGCCCAACTGACCTCGACTGTGCATACGACAAAAAACCAAAATAAAACAGCACGCATGCGCGAAATTAAAAATATAAAATGGCGACAATTTATCCATAGAGAGAGGAATTGAGTTAAACAAATATATTAACAGAAACGGTAATACAAAGGAGAGTCTTACAGCAAAAATGTTCGGTCCGACTGTCAGAGCTGAATTCTGGAATCTTCCTTCTCCAAAAGAAGTACGTGCTCCTATTTATAGCTGGGAGAGTCCATGAGTGTGTGGGTAAATTGTCATAAGAATATCAAAGCTAGAATGTGGTGTGAGTCAATGGTGTCTTTCCACCCGATTTATTCAATATTTACAGCAAGGCGAGGCTAAAAAAACTAGATCTTTTACCATCTGTTGACACAATCTTAATGTAAGATCCACAGATGTGACCATGTTGAAAGCAGTCACAGAAAGAAAATTGCATAAACGCGTAGACAAGGTGAGAAAATAAAGCCTTAAAGAAAGGACTAACCATCAAGAGCAAGTAAACAGAATATATATATATATATATATATATATATATATATATATATATATATATATATTCAGCGAGAGGAATAGTCCAAAATATGAGATACGAATAGGAGATGTCGAGATCGATTAAGTACAGGAATTCAACTGTTTGGGTCGTGTCTTAGCAGATCACAGAAAATTTGACACCGAAATCCAAAGACGCTAAGTAATAGCCAAAGATGCATTACATAAGCTAAATGAAGTATTAAGAAACAGAAAATCTTCGTTAGAAACAAAGAAATGAATGCTGACTGCTATGTATTTTCAATTATTTTTTGGAACTGGATGTTATTTTCCCTACAGATGGAAAGGCGACTTGAAGCAAGAGAGATGTTATTTTTCAGTTGAATACTGAGAATACAGTAGTCTCATCAAGTGTGTTTTAAGAGAAGTGGAAACGAAAATGACACTATATACTTAGGATAAGAAAGAGACTGAAACATAGTGAAGAAGATTAGAGAATTTGACCTTTATACGAATTTACTGTAAATGGATGCCAGATCCGTGAGTGAGAAAGACAGTAAACAAATGAAAACTGTGAAGAGCTAATAAGCACAGGAAATTCAGAACACAACATAATTTAAAAAAATAAGAAATGCGGCATATTTAAAAGAAAAACTACTATTAGAAGTAACATAATACTTCTTTTTTAATCCAGCATGGAATTTATTTAAATTATTTAATTAGAACTTGTCTGACGTGTTTTCAACCAGGTTATGCATCTAAGTCCTGGAAAATTGGAGATCAGTTGGTTACAGGTGTTTTGAAAGTGTGGTAAACACAATGATTCTAAACTCCATCAGATTTTATTGAATGGATTTGTTTTACAATGATGTACAAGGCTCAAGAGCCACTCGAGGGTTAGAGAAACACAATTTATGGGGATATATTGGGAAGATATGACTGTTGTGCCCAAATATGAACAGGTTAGAATTGTAGCGAGCGGGGAAGCACCCTCATCGGAATCAGTTCCACAAAGCAGCAGCTGAAATAGCAAGTTTATTTTAGCCGGCATATATATATATATATATATATATATATATATATATATATATATATATATATATATATATATATATATCAATTGCCGGCTATTTCTCTTCACAAAAGGTTTACAACTTTTTATGCATCACTTACAAATATTAATAATATGATATGACCAAACTGAAAAGGTGATAATAGATTGCAGCACCCCCCTGCTTCTCCAGCTCCTCCTCCTCCTTCTTTCACATTTGTCCTCGGATTTCGACTTGCTGAGCAGTCCAACATTCTTCTCCATCTGCCGTTGTAGTGCGCCAGAGCCTGGGCCTCCGCGAATGGTTTCTTGGGCTGTTCATCATGTGACGCGTCTAGGGCGTTTTAACCTGGCGGAGCCTATCCCTCTCCAGGTTAGACCACATCCGATGTCCTCTAACTAGGTGGCTTGCCTTGGTCGCGAACACTTGACCGTTGTAGTTCATCACCCTTCTGCCCTGGCCGGCGACCTGGGTCGAGGAAGTACTTCGAACAGTGATACCGCGTCAACCTTACTCCCTCACGTGAGTTTAGCCCGCCAGATGAAACGGTTTAACATGGCATGGCTACTAGGAGCCATCACGTGAGAGATTTCGGGAGATGGCTGAGGACCAGTGATGCCCGTCCACCCATTCTACCCCTATGCAGAGCCACCCAATGGCACATATTACAGCACCATCAAGTGGTAATAAAGATCTTGAGCAAGTGCGAGTTCCAGTTTGTGCAGGTTGGGTATGGAGCAAGTTTGTCGACGCCAAAAAATCGCTTTTTATTAAATGTAAGTAAACTATTAAGAAATATGTCATGTTTGTAGAAACAAGCAAATTTCATCAAATATACATGTTTATCCTCTTTCGAATAATAGGGAACCGTTTTATCTTCGTCGCTTTGTCGATTGGGGTCAGATGTCTTCCAACTGTTGTATGGCCTATTCTCAGTGGATAATTATTTGTTTTCTATTTGTTTCTCTCCTAGGCTCAACAGCTGTTTTCACTTCAATCATTCTCAAGTGACCACATGTGACCACAAAAAGAGTCGTCTTGAAGATCTAGTTGACTCGGAAGGGAATTTTGGGAAGAATGCATGAGTAATTCAGTAACTAACTTGATAAAAATGTATCAAGCAGCGCAGTGACCGAGTTTGAACTCTTGGCGCATAATGACACCAAAACAGCAATTATTCATCTTTTCTACTATAGCCTGTAAAAATAGTCAAATAATGCCCTAAAAGAGATATGATATGCGTTAAAATTAGTTAGTTAGATAGATAGATAGATAGATAGATAGATAGATAGACAGACACACAGAAATAGAACTAAATGATAACTCAATATTCAACTGCCGAAACTGTTTTGTTTTTTGTTTGTCGACCAAAGAAAGTCACATTCCGTTCATCATATCGAATCCAATTTTCATCGACATTAACCGTACAAACATGCAAGGAAATTGCGTCACGTGTCAAAGTATAGAAGCCGATGATTATCATTCACTCATGGGCTAGCTACATCGATAGGATACGATGGGTAAATTGGCGCCATTTTATTATTTTTAATTTCGCGCATGCGCGTTGTTTTCTTTTTTTTATATTTTGTCGACCTCACACTATAATAGGGATAATTGGGTACCGTCTATGAGAAAAAGTGCACCATGATGCAATTCGCGCCGCCAGGAAATTGTAAAAGGCATGCTGTACCGCTTGTCATTCGAGCCGGAAGCTCCAATACGAACATCTCAGAAGGATTGGGTGTCAATCTGAGGACAGTGCTGAGGATTCAGGAAAGAATTGGATGAGTCTAGTTGTGATTACGTAGATACAGCAGTTCAGAAATCTCATACAAAAGAACTTCCTAATTTGTTGGTGAGGCCCACATCAAGTACCTTGAGGAGGTAATCCTACCCTGGTACAAGAGAGTAGCTACTGGAAGATCCTATATCTAGCAACAGTGATGGCTGTCAGACAATTTCTGGAACCACATTACCCCTTCCATTTGGCCACCTAACTCCCTAGACTTCAACCCCCTTGATTATTATTTGTTGGGTGTAATTGAGCTAAAGACCAAAAAATCCTTGTAACACCAAAGACAAAATGAAGGCTGGGAGTATGGCAGTAACTCAAACAAGGAGATGGTCCAGAAGAGATGCAGGAGATTCCGAAGTCGTCTGGTGAAGTGGTTGATGCCAATGGCTATTTTATTGAATAAGTTTACTCTATCGTATTTCAAGATAATTATGTGTGATTTTGGTAAATATATCTATGAAAATAAGATACCACTGTTATTTTCATTTTTTGCGTAATTTAGACGACAAATTGTTTATGGCACCCTGTATATTTTACTTGATTTAGCCAAATTAAAAAACAGGAATCATTAGAAAATACCAATTATTGATTTGCTTATAAAGACACCAACAATTTTTTTTTTAACATCTTCACTCTCTCAAAGACTAAATTAGATCTGTATATGTGTCTTCATTTGTGTAATTTTTAATTGTCATATTAAACATATCTTTTTATTACTGAAATAGTAATAAGGTCTGTAGATATATATATATATATATATATATATATATATATATATATATATATATATATATATATATATATACTCAAGTATGACCTCAGTATTGTTTGCAGATCACTACTAAAAAAGATTGAAATTAAGTGACACTGCAAGAATACAATAAAGAGAAAAACTTAAGAATATGCTCTTAATAATTAGAAATTAATATTTTAAATTAAATTTTATTTTAAGAGATGGAAAAATGATTAGTGTAGAGTTTTGAAACTAATTTCAGTGTATTTTTATATATATATATATATATAATTTCTATTATGATTGTTTTCAAAATTTATTACTATTACTTTATTGATATATTTTTATATTCATGCTATAATTGAAGTAAACAGATTGAAACATTCCATTTGTTCACTAATCATACTTATTTTTATTTCTTAAAAGAAAGGTTATTCTTTAAATATTTCAAAATAATAATTATCTTGTTGAAGAGAACTTAATAATTTTGGCTTAATATAAAAATACAGGAATCATTAGATAATACCAATAATTGATTTGTTTATAAAGACACCAACAAGTTAAAATGTATTTGTACTATGCTAGAAATATCTTGATAATATCTTACAACAATATTTAAACCAGTCAATTTCATAAAGATATATAATGTTCAATAAAATGTCATATTGATTCTATTTCAGAAAAAAGAACTGATAAGTCTGCTGTGTCTGGTGCTATTCGTTTACACATTAGCGTGGAAATCAAGGGAGAAGAAAAAGTTGCTCTCTACCACGTACAATACACTTGCCTTCATGAGGTGAGTAGACCTGTACATTTTTTTTTTTTTTAACTTTTTATTATACTTTATTAATTTGAATATGTATACAGTCTAGTTCTGAAATTTATGGGTGATGACAGAAAAAAATGTTTGCTATAACATCAGTTATTGGTTCTAATGCTATTTATTAGTATGCAGGAAAACTAATATTACTTGATTGATATTCCTTCTGTAATTTGAGTTTTGAGACCAACATTTTTTTTTCTCAATAAATTATTTTCATCTTTATTAATAATTACTACAGATATTCTTGTATATCAGCTTGGAATAAAATAAATGGTCATTTTGAATCATAAATTTTTAAATCTCACAACTCTGTTGAAATACAATTTTATAAGTAAGCACAGAAAATCATTTTTGAAATGAGCAAGCAAATTGCGTCAAGTGTTAAAACATAGGCAACCCACTTCTGCGTTTTTCTTCACTTTGTCAATTGCAGCCAAATATTTTTTGAATGTAGAATGACCTACCCAAATACCTAATTATCTGTTTCTAAATTAACCTCAACAGCTGCCTTCCGTTTTTCATTCTGAATTGACCAATTGTATCCAAAGCAAGACTCATCTTGAATATCCAAATGACCAGGAAAAACTTTTGGAAATAATACATGATCAATTCTGTAACTGAATTGTTTTTGATGGAGCAGCGGAATGACTGAATTTAAACTCTTCGAGTGTAATAATACAAAAATAACATTTATTCTTCTTTCCTTCAATAGCCTATTAAATAATAATAATAACAATAATAATCAACAGTAAACGAAAGAAGAGATCCAGTGCTTTAAAATGTTATATATATATATATATATATATATATATATATATATATACATAAAACAGAAGGAATGTCACAAAATAACATTTATTCTTTTTTTGTTTTAATAGTCTATTAAAACAACAACAACAGCAACAACAACAACAACAACAATAATAATAATAATTAACAGTACACAAAAGCGCTTTAAAATGACATACACAGAGAAACAGAATGGAATTATGCCAAAATAATCAACTCCACTTATGCAAATGGTGTTGATGCAGTAGACTGAAATCTTGGAACAAAATGACACAAAAATTGTATTTATCTATGTTTTTTTTTTCCAGTTGAGACGCTGAAATGTTTTTGTGGCTTCGTTTCCTAAAAGAATGTTATTTTATGTCTACCAGGCAGATTTTGATCTTGAGAAATTAAATTCGTTCATAACAGCATCTAATTTTATTTTCGGACTCTTCTCATTCGGATCAGTATGATAAATACTTGCACATTGTTTCTGTTTGGCTTTAAGTGCTGAAATTGTTTTGTTTTTAACGTTTTTTTGTCGATGCTATTATACACTCATTTAGCACTGACATACAAAATCTACTTTTAATCAACAGTAAGCACGCAAGCAAGGAAAGCCTCATTTTTAATACAAAACCAAAATCGCATACCAAAGAATAATGCTGTTGATTATCGTTCACATCAAAGAATAACTAATTTTCTATTTTCTTTGTTTTCCAGTTTGTACCGGATATCTTGCAACTCTTATCTGACTTACTTCCGTCTACGCTTCTAACAATTGTTTCTTGATAAACATCTATAACTGTCCATCATTCTTCATTATCAAGTTACGTATTTCGGTCGTGGTTAAGCCCAACTTCGACATCCACATCAGCTGAAAAAGATTTTGGAACCAACTACGCATAATCTACTATGAACCTGACTCCAGCCGACAAGCATCGTGGGTGAGGGAAGCTTCGATAGAGAAATAATCGTTTGAATTCAAAGTGTATAACTCTATTTCAAGACCCTATAAAATATAAAATTAAGCCGAGAGGCACAAACTTTTAACCGTATATATATATAATTATTTTCTCCAAAAATATTATTCCATTGTCAAAAAAAAATAAATAAAACATAATTATAATTTAAGCTCTACTTCTGTATGGAATAATGTTTTTTTTTTAAATAAAAATACTAAAGAACTCCGGATTATTTACCTAACGTGTTCTTTCCTATTTTCTACACATATATATATATATATATATATATATATATATATATATATATATATATATATATATATAAAACATCCTATGATGTCAATCTGCTAGAACAGTTAACCAATCTTTGTAACAGACGCCTGCTCAGTCACATTTTGCATTTGTTCAACACCCACAGAACCCACCTGTGGTCTTTATTCCAACCATGCTGACCGGACCTTAATTTGATGAGAATCATCAACAGCCTGAACGTTCAAATTCTCGGCTACGATGACTTGCTAGCACAATCACCGACGACTCCCAAGGTGTTCCGTACACCCAATTTCACTCACAAGGCTTGGGTCAACCCATGGTATCATTTTTTTCATTTACTTTCAAAAGATCTCGTTCTCTGTGAACACCAGGAAGTTACCTTCCTTACAAATCTCGGCTTCCATGTGTCCATACATGCATTCATCCGAATCGATATTTGTTCATTTTATATGCCATGTACTTTCAGGACGTGGGCGATCATGGCTCTCTCCTACCGCCTATTCCTTGTAGCTCTCAATAAGTTTCTTGCCTCTGCCAACTCCCCCAGACCACGTTCTGCCATCCACTTGCTTAAGCCCACCAGGTATGCCTTGTCTCTTTTTCCCTCTATTCGACCTGTGAGGATCAGATTCTCCAGGCCCTCCTTCCTCATTATGTGTCCTAGAAACTTCAGCTGCCACAATCTGATGTTAAGTATAAGCCTTCTCCTTGTTTGCAACCTCTCTAAGATCTCATCGTTTCTGACATGCTCGGTCTATGTTATCCTTAGCATCCTTCTGTAGAACTGCATATCCGTCACCTCGAGTCTCTTCTTCATCCCAATAGGAGGTCATCCAACATTCGTTGCCGTATAAGAGGACAGATGTCACGGAGCAGCTCAATACTTTTTTCTTTGTCACCTTAGAAATCCTCCTGTCTCGCAGTACTCTGCCCAGATTTTGGAATGCATCCTTGGCCATTCCAATCCGTCTTCGGATCTCAGCATCGCACCTACAGTCCTCCGTCAAAACACTTCCCAGGCATTTAAATTTCCGCGCCTGCTTGATTTTAGTGTCCTCCAGTGTAAATCGAATTTCGGGCTCATCCTTTTGCTGTCGACCATGCATTCTGACTTCTTTTGGTTTATGCTTAGTCCCTTCTTCTCGCTATCTTCTGTAGGAGGCTTTGTAGTTTCTTTTCTGTGTCTGCTATCAGTACTATATCATCTGCATAAATTATGTTGTTAAGATTGAGGCCGCCAATGCTGAATCCCGATAGGATCTCCAATTCTCTCAGAATTGCCTCGCTGTATAGGTTGAATAAGTCCGGTGAGAAGACACATCCTTGCCTTACGCCCCTTTGTATTTTTGTATATTCGCTGAACTCATTCTCATGACGTTTGCTGCCAGTATAGATTCTTGATTATTCTAATATCTTCCCCGAATATATCAAGGTTGCCGAGCAGTTCCTTGTGGCGTAATTTGTCGAACGCCTTTGTGTAGTCTATAAAACATAGATACACGTCCTCCTGCATCTATATTGCTCTTTCTTATAAAATTCTGCGCATGAATATCGCGTTGCTAGTTCGGGTGTCTTTAACGAACCCGCACTGTTCTTGTCCTATCTCTGACTTGATTCTGCTGCGTGCTCTATTCATCAGAATACAGATGTTACGTTGCTCATTAGGCTGATTGTTCGGTAGAGCTCACATTCGTTTAAGCCTGGTTTATTAAACAGTGCTATCAAAATAGATCTGCTGAGATGTTCCGATATATCCCCACTGTTGTAGATTTCATTTATTATTCCTGTGTTGTTGTCTATACCAAATTCATCTAAGACCGTCAGCATTTCCGTTACAATTCCATCTGGCCCTGCCGCCTTGTTTCTGTTCAATTTCGGCAGTGCAGCTTCTACTTCGGTTTTTAGAATTTCAGGTCCATCGGTAGTTCTGTGTATTGCTGGTTGTTCTCTTTTGTCGTGGAAGAGTTCGCCAATATACTAGCCCCAGCGTTGAAGAATTTTTTCCTTCTCTAATATGAGTGTTCCGTCCTTTGATTTTAAGTAGACTGTTGACGAGCATGTTTTCTGTCCTGTTAGTTGCATATCTCCTTTGTTGTTGATATTCAATCTCTGTACTTCTGCACATTTTTTGTTTAGCCATTCTTCTTTAGCCTGTCTGCATTTGGTCCTTATTTCATTGTGTAATTTTCTGTATTCTGTTCCGAGACATATTTATCTGTCTACTGTCGAGAATCTCTCCAGTATGCCATTCGTTTTTGTCTTTTTCGTCCATTCTCCTTTGGGATAATATTGTTTGCTGATGTCACTAATGCGACTCATAGTGAGTCCCATTTCGAGTTTCCATTGTATCCGTCGTATATTTTTTTTCATATTGCCGTACATTTTTCTTTCAGGTGCGGGTTGTATCGCGACTTGGGTGCTGCGTTAGGCTCCTTCAGTCTCCGCAGTTTCACTCTTAGATTACTCGCATAATCGCTCCCGCAGTCGGCACTTGGATAGGTTTTGCAGTGAACGATACGCATATTCATGAATAGATATTAAGCTTATAATTAAGCACGAAAATAGATTTCTCATGTCTACTAACTATGATATTTTTCCTGTATTAACGGGGATTTTATTCTTAAACTTTTGTTCGAAATAGTGTGGAATCATCATGCTTTTATTATTATTTAGAGTGATATCCAATTTAGGTGATGTCGCTGTTGAAAATCCTCAAGTTATACGGCTTATTTTATTTGGTAAATGTCTTTGTGGTTGTTTTTTTTTATTCTATAGCGCCAGTCCACGGGCTTCGAAGAACGTTAGTTCTCGTTAGAAGCTACAGGCGTCAATCACTCGATCCATAAACTGAATGTGAACGATCTGAAATCGAAGTAATTCAAAGCAGTAACAAATATTCATTTTGAATTTTCCCCGTTTAATATGTGTGTGTTCCAGTTTACGCTTCTCAAAGTGGTCGAGACATAGATAATAACAATGACAGCCAAATGATTATTCAATACTATACTGACAAGTCGTTGATCAATATCAAATTATGTGAAACCGCTGAGATTTTGGAAAACGCTAGTCCCGATTTATCGTCATTATTCATATGCGTTTCAAGAATCACTTTTGCCGACTCCGGTCATGTACAGTAACTGAGCAATAGTAATTAGTAGCGTGATAGAAAAACAATATAGCTTCATTTATTCGTGATAAATTTCCTACGAATAAATTCTAACAAGTATAGATAACATATTTTTATAGAAAAACTTTTTCAAAGCACACTTAAGATATAAAATCGTAAAAGAGGAATTGTGTGAGCGTGTGTGTGTATGTGTGTGTGTGCAAAATTTTGTTTTGGTTAATGCGTTTTCTCTGAATTTCTGGAATTTTTCTAAGACCCATTTTTTTGTATTTAAATTATTTCTTTTTACTTAATATAAACGGTTTCAATGCAGTTTGCTTATTTTGTCGTCGAACAAAGGAACAAGAAAGAGAGCAACACTGACGGCATTACGGACACACCCACTGGATAGACTTGAAAAGAATAATAAACGATGATCCTTTAAAGCGAAAAGGAAATAACGGTAAGCGTGGACAAAATAAAGCTCTCACGCTAATTAGGATGATAATAATGATGATGATGATGATGATGATGATTGCGACGACGACGACGACGATGATGATGATGATGATGAAGCAGGGTTTCTTATAATAATAATAATAAAGAATATATTGACATTGAGATGATGTTTAAAATGTTGACGTTATTGTTGATGGGGATGATGTCGGTGCGGCCTCCATGTGTCTTTAGCTTGAGAAGAAGAAGAAGAAGAAGAAGAAGAAGAAGAAGAAGATGATGAAGAAAATATCCTTTTATGCAAAACAAAGGTATAAGGGAAAGAAGAATTGAAGATGTTGGAATAAAGAAAGAAACAAAGAAAGAAATTTAACTTTCAGATCAACACAACATTTTTTGCCTTTGAAAATGATAAAAAACTACTATATTTGTCTTGAAAAAAAACGACACTCTGATGATGACATTGTCTTAATGTCGAAAGTACTCGGAATAAATAAATAATATATATCAACACGGTAATTTTCTCTCTTCTTTTAACAATAACACCAAAAAGCTCGTCCGTGATATATGAAAGGATCCAATTAAAAATAAGTAGAAATCCCTAAATTATTCAATGAAACATGTATCAGGATAGATAGATAGATAGATATTAAAGAATGATAGATAGATAGATAGATAGATAGATAGATAGATAGATAGATACACACATAGAAGAGATAGATCAAAATAGAGACAGATGAACAGAATGTAATTTCCTATGGCTACTAGACTTGAATGTAAGGGGCTAAATATTGGTAGATAGTTCCCACCCTTTTATTGTTGAAATAGCCAAAACCAACCGCCACTTCTACTCCAATAGTTTCTTTTCTAGGACTTCTTGCCTGTGGTCGTTTACTTGCTTCCCTGATAAATACAAACTTTAAAAATTTAAATGCAACGTCAATCGCCACCTTCTATCTTCTTGAATTCCGTTCATCTTTTTTCCTTTCCTTAATCCTCACTATACTAAGTCTTTTTTCCTACTTTCACTCCCTGTAACCCGCTTGTCTGGGATAAAATTATTTTTTCAATATATGTGTGTGTGTTTGTGTGTCTAAAATTTTAGATATAACTATAAATAGAGGTGTAAAAGGACAATATAAAGACAAAAGGAGAAAAAGTAAAATTATCTTTCGTCTTCTGATGGACTCTAGTCTAATATGAGCATTGTCTGTTCCAAAATAAAATCTTTACGTTACCAATGATAAACTCAAACAGATGACGTTTTCCTTTTGTCTTTATTCAGATAGATAGATAGATAGATAGATAGATAGACTGGACTGAACTCTCCCGTCTTATTCGACTTACGAGGGTCAACAACTCAGTTCCTAGGGACCGACAGCCAGACACCTGCATATATGATTTGATTGTAGTGGTGAAAGCTTTGTGCAGAACTAACCACACAATTTGAAGAGCCGAATACAGTTCTGGAGCATCGTGTCCCACATGGTTCCCCAAACGGTGGAATACTGGATGGATAGTGGCACGGATTGAGGAATCGGAGAGCTGAGTTCGAATTCCAGTCGAATCCATTATATTCACTTACGTCCTAATACCCCTGGGGAAGGTATGAATCCTCATCTTCTCGCCCCAGCTATGGGTAAATAGCAGGACAGACCGGCTTCTATAGCCTTGAATAGCAACTGGTCTAGGAGAAGGACAACTCTGAATTTAAAACGTGAGGGAGGTTCATATGAATATATATATATATATATATATATATATATATATATATATATATATATATATATATGTATATATATACATCAAATATTTTAATACAAATTTTGAGGGATAGTTTTAGTTTAATATAAGGTTACAGAGATGGTTGGAGGATTATGGATAGGTCCATCTTGGAAATGTAAATAGGGATAAGGTTGTTTTTAAACCATCCTTAATAATTTACTTAATTTCAAGTGTACTCAGTTAAAAAAGCCAGACAATTTGACCTCTTAAATAATTTTGAGACAGAACGAGAAAAAAAAAAAAAACAAATAGTAAATCAGGTGAGGAGGGGGGAGAGGTTTTTTGTCTCATTAAGGAATAGAAAAATTACGGTGTTGATACATATTATTTATTTATTCCGATACATTCGACATCATCAGGCTGTTGCTTTTTCAAGTCTTCATCATTTTAAAAAGGCAAATAGCTGTATTGATCTGAAAGTTAATTTTTGTTAAGTTAAATGCAATTACAATATATATATATATATATATATATATATATATATATATATATATATATTGGATACAATGTCCGATCAAAAAGAAAAAATATTAAGTATTATAAAAAAGGATGTTCTTAAATTTTAAACTCTTTTTTTTTGCTCTAAACACGACCATGTCTCTCACACCATCCCTCACTAATTCAATGTCAACTGATATAGCTTATACGGTAATTTAAAATATGTGATTCTTTTACAATAATAGTAATGACGTCGTAATAAAAATCAAATGACGTCGTTATTAATTTAATTTTGTAATTAAATTAATACAGAATGTTTTTTCAAAATCTCTAGAATGTATTTCACTTTGAGAAGAAAACTAAATAAAACTTCACAAGAAGGCCCACTGCATGGTCATTAAAAAGAGCCCAGCTAAATTTTTTCGGAATCAAATTAGAACAAAATTCGTCTTGAAGAGGAAATAACAGATCTGTAGACATATTGGGATAATTCATTCAAAAGCTGGGCAGACTATTGCGAGACAGGATGATTTCTTTGGTAACAAACAAAAGAATACTGAGCTGGTACGTGACATCGGTTCTTCTTTAGGGCAACGAATGTTAGACGATTTCTTTAAAGATGAAGAATTATAATGACGGAGATATGGTTCTACAAAAATAAAATATATGCACCTAGCGTGTCAGCAACGATGAAGTCTTAGAGAGGTTTCAAACAAGGAGGAGGTTCATGCTTAACATCGGAAAGAGGTAGCTGAAGTTTCTGGTACACATAATGAGGAAAGAGGTCCTGGAGAATCTGATACTCACGGGTCGAATAGAGGGGAAAAGAGACAAAGGAATGCAGAGCGTGACATACCTGACGAGTTTGAGCAGGTGGATGACAGAACGTGGACTGGGAGCTGAAACAGGATGAATAAATTTGTTTAGGGCTGCAAGGTATAGATGGAAGTGGAGAGGCATGATCGCCTACGTCCAAAAAGAATGGCACATAAAAGGAAAGATGATTATTGGGTTTTTCCTCATAATGTAATTCGTTCTCTGTTCTTCACCCTATGGCCTGCTAGGATAACCACGTCTACGATCAGATTTGACTGGGTAGGATAGTCCTTTTGTTGCACCATTTCTTTTTGTATTCCAACTGAGATAGCTTCTTCTTATATTTCAGGAAGTTAGCAAACATGGCTCTTCATAATTTCGCATCCTTTGTAACGCTTTGTCTTTTCACTGTCCTTCACTCCATATTCTACCCATCCAATTATGCAAGCCCTTCGATCTGTCTTTTGAGTGTCCAATTATTGGGCGAATGGTTAGAGCGTTTGCTTTCTGACAAAGTGAGCCGGTTTCGAATCTCACCATGGTCGATTTGCCAGGAAGAAGACTGGAGAGGTCGATCCCAGCGTGCGGCACCTTTGGAAGGTGCCTGAAAACTATACCACGTGTTAACCCAAGCCTTGTGAGTGAAAGTGGGTAGACGGAACCCTTTGGCGCATCGATAGCTGCGCTAGCACGGAGCTTGAGCGTACTGGCCTTGTTCAAATTGTTGATCAGGCTAGATAACACACTCTTTCCCAGAAACTGTAACTAAGGTCTGATCAGCATAGTTACAGTATAAACCACAGGTGGACACTGTGAGTGTTGAATAAACATAAATGTGCCTGAACAAGCGACCGCAATAGGGATTGTCTAGCCGCCCTAGTAGACGGGTATTCCTCGAATGGCCATCTATACATATATATGCAGGCCCTACTTCCATATTATGTGTTCAAGATATTTCATCTGTCACATTCTTAGTCTGAATGTAAGCGACCATTTTGTTTTCCTTTGCCTTAAGTTTTCTTCGTGACTCACATATTCTATACCTGTTATTTTCAGCATCCTTCTGTTGCCTGAATTCTCTTCCTCATCTGTGAAGAAATTGTCTATCATTCACTGCCATATACGAGGATTGATATTTACATAACAGTTCAGTACTCTTTTTCTTTTCTTTTTTATTAGTGTCGGTAATCTTTTATACAAGTTTAGTGAAATCTTACAAATATCACCAGCGTTTAATCGGTTCCTTATCAGTTTAAAAAGAGATGGGAATTTCAGAGCGTCCTTCCTGGACGAGTTTGAATGGAAGGCTTTGGTTGAAGCAAATGCGCGCGCAACTGTTTGGCTGCATGTTAGATGGGACAATTCTCTGAATATTTGATCCAATTTGCGAATGTTGAAGATGCTGAACCAATGGATGGGACACGAATTGAACGAAAACCGGGAAGTAGTCGGCTCTTCCATTCTTTTACGCAACAAAAGCAATCCCGTTCTCGATCTGATTGTAACGTGGATGAAAAAGTGTATCGTATGAAACACAACGACTTTCAGTTTGTCATTTCACTATACCTCCATTCCCTAATCTACCATCCACTTATACAACCTCGTTAGGTAAATTACACGATTTTTTCCCTCAGTCCCTCTTGCTTTAAATATGCCCTGTGAGTGTCAAATTCTACAAGCAATCTTTCCTCATTATGTATCCCAGAAATTTGAATCATTTTTTTCTGGTGCTAAACCATACAATTTTGAAATCTTTAAATTATTGTTTGTGACAATATAAAGGATGTCAGTATCTGTCTATATTTCTGAGATGACGTATTATGTACATTATTTACATTATTCCGACTATTGTCCTCATCTTTGTCGCCATATTCAACACACATGGCACAGTGGATAAAGGCGTTATTTAGATCTTTGTGACAGGACCCTGAAATGAGTTCAATACCTGGTTAAGGCGGCAAGCCTTGGAGAAGGGGAATTAACAAGAATAACGGAACCCTTGACGCCATTAGACATGGCACGGGGAACTAGCACAGTCTACCCCAGTGAGCGAAATAAAGGGTTCAGTTCGACATTCCAACCACCTGAAGAAGGCCAGGGCGTACAACGGTCGAAACGTTGTGATTAATACGACGAAAAAGATGAGGACAATATTCCGAATAATGTAAATAATGTATAAATGATGTAAATATTCTTCTTTTATACGCCATGTTCCTTCAGTGCGTGGACGATCATGACTCTCCGATCCTCTATCTATAAATCAATATTTAACCTCTTGCCTATAAATGTGTTCTGAACAAGCGACCGATCAATAGGGATTTACTAGCTGTTTACTTCTGATTATTTCCAGTGAGTGTCGAATTAACCTAGCAACCTTTCTACATTATGTGAGTAGATATTTTAATTAAGTCTTTATTAGTTTAAGTATAAGCGATCTTTTTCTTTTCGTTTTCCTTAAAGCTTCTTCGTTACTCATGTTCAGATCAAGATATCTTCAGTATTCTTCTGTGGAACCACATTTCTGTTGCTTTAAGTCTTTTTTTTTTATCTAGGAAGAGATTGTCCAGTATTCGCTACAATATCGAAGAACTGATATTACATAACATTTCAGTACTCTTTTCTTTTATTTGTTTTTATTTTTTGAAATGTCGGTAATTTTTCTTTACCAGTTTCCAAAAATTCCGAAGTTTCAACAGAGCAGCGGTTCGTGGGAAGAAGCCGCCTAAGTTGAACTGATATCTGACCGATTGAATACGAAAATTCTGTTTTGGCCGTGAAGGTTAGAGTTGTGGAACTAAGGAATGTAGTTCGTCTGGGCACATTTCCATGAAAATGGCAATATAAATGAAAAAGGACGTTTTTGTCTGTGAGTAAGGGAAGCGAAGGGTGGAAAATAATGAAGGAAACTGGGACGTTTTGGGACTCTATCAAGATTGTAAGAGTATAATTTCAGAAAATTTCATTTTCGACTTGCCTGAATCTTGTAGAGAGCTGAACCAATGGATGGTACACCAGAAAACGACCATTTTACAGTTTTTAGCAATGTGTCTATATATGAGTTCCTCTTGCGGTCTGGGCTTTGTGTAAGTCCCAGTAGGCACTCAAATCATGGAGTCGCCTTTAAGAAAAATCTGTTCATCCTGATAGGTGGGAATTAAAGTTCCGATCGGCGATTATTGGTTTCTTGAAAATACAATTTCTGATGTTTTTTTTAATCAATTTAATTCTGAATGGAGATATGTTGTTTAAAATTAATGTTTAAATTCTGCTTTAATTTCTTAACAACCGGATATAAAATTGTTGTGAGACCGTAACATACCTACAATGGACTCTACCATATAAATATGCGATAACACTCTCGGAGAAAGAAATTGAAAGAGATTTTTATCTCAGTCAGCCGCGTACGACTTTTAATATTGAACACTAGCAGTGTCAAATTCTTACTATCTTTGCTGAAAGCTTTTGTCATTATGTTTCCCTCTAATCCGTCGTTCGTTTTCCTTCCGTGGTCCCAAACCATTTTGAAATCTCCGGTTTTCTAATCTGTCATTCATTGTTAATGGTTTCCATGCAAAAGGCATAAAAACTGTCGGTCATTTCTACACAGGATATTCGCGCGTTTTGGCGTGGTAGATTATTTAGTTACAGATAATATTTCACACAAGTATTTAGTCCTTCTGCAAGTCGTATCAGGTGGACCACATTCAACACCTCAGTACCACCCCTAGGTCGAATGGCCAGGCCAAAAGGTTCGTTAACACTCTAAAGGGCTTTAAAAAAACAGGACACCGAAATAGAGCATTGCAGTTCTGCAGGTGTATTGGATAACCTGGGGTATGGGAAGCTCGCCTGCATAAACAATGGCGGAGAATCTGTCTCCAAGTTTAAAAAAAAATAACGCCTCATAAAAATATTTCAATCCTGACATCCATTAGACAAAAACAACATAACCTTCTGGGGAACACCATAAAACAAAAAGAATTAGTGAACTGGTCTAATTGGACCAAAACACTAACAAAACGCCATTAGACATTCCAACCACCTGTTGAAGAAATCGGAGGAATCAGTACAAAATAGTCGGAAACGTTGTGATTTTCGATCATGACGACAAAGATGAGGATAATATTCCGAATAATGTAAAATTTAAACCGCTCGAAATGATGTAAAAAAGTATTAACAGTTTTATGTTTTTTCTCCTTTTTCCTTGGAGTGGGTGGACGATCATAACATACCTCTCCGGACTCCTCCTATCCATTGTAACACTAATCAATATTTAACCTCTTACTATACCGTAGTATCTCATGTTATATTGGACACCCATAGTTCCGCTTACGAGATCATTGGGTGCTTTTTTGTTTAATATATCTTTCTTACTCTAATCCGTGTTCCTGTTTTCCTTCCGTGGTCCCCAATATTGGGCCCAATCAAAAATGTTCGATTCTGTTTAAGCTTTAAATTTGCTAACCTGTTGGTTGCTTTTTTACATTATGTTAGTAGATATTTTAAGCATAAGTCTTTATTTAGTTTAAGTATAACTGATCTTTTGTTTTCGTTTTTCTACGATTAAAAGGACTTTTGCCTTGTCTTTTACTCATGTTTTTTTCAAGATATCTTCCACGGTTCATTTAATTCGTTCCTGAACCACATTTCTGTTGTTTTCGTAAACCTTTTTTTTTTTCCAGGAATGATTGTCCAGTATTCACGGTACCATATCGAAGAACTGATAACACATAACATATTCAACACAGCGGTCAAACTCTTTTTGGGTTGATCGTTTCAGCAATGTTGTCCTACATTTTAAAAATGTCGATAACCAAAGTTTTTCATTTAATTTTCTGTTCAAAAACCGGTTTGTTCGACATGTGAGACGTTTGAGAACTAAGGTTATTCTGTAGTCAGCAGAGAACACTCGAGTTATTTGAGAGCGCTTCAGACCTTTTGTATTTACACAGATAGTGAATGAATAATTGCTACCTGCAAATCAGCAATATAAAGCAGTTACATATATTCTCTGGTAGCATTTGAATAATTTTTTCTTTGTTGTTCTGCTCAAATTTTTATCCTCTATTGAACCATGAAGAGCGAGAAACTATAACCGGTTACCTCTTATTGTTGTTGTTTATTTGTGTTATATTTTCGATCCACCAATTTACACTTCTGTCTTTCCTCTCCTTTGGTTTAAATATACAAGTGTATATATTTCTCTATAATTTTAAAATTTATAGTTTTAAAATCCTATAAAAAAAAAACGATTTTCAGTACAAAAGGAAAGCATCATGCGTAAATGCATTCATCCTCCGTTACATTTATCACCTTTTCTTTCTCTTCTTCCTCTCCTCTTCATTCTTCATGTATTTCGACCTGTTCCTCCTCTTCTTCAATCTTTATCTTTATTTTGTCTTCCTTTCCCTCATCCCCTACATTCATCACCTTTTCTTTCTCTTCTTCCTCTCCTCTTCATTCTTCATGTATTTCGACCTGTTCCTCCTCTTCAATTTTCTTTATTTGTCTTTTTTTCCCTCATCCCCTCATTCATCATCTTTTCTTTCTCTTCTTCCTCTCCTCTTCATTCTTCATGTATTTCCCCTGTTCTCCTCTTCTTCAATCTTTATTTGTCTTCCTTTCCTCCCTCCTGTTCATCCTGATCTTCTTTCTCCTCCTAATCATTCTTGATCTTTTTCCATCTCTTCTTCCTCTTCTTCAATCTCAATCTTTATTTTGTCTTCCTCTTCCCCTACATTGATCACCCTTTCTTCCTCTTCTTTCTTTTTCTCTTGATTCTTCATCTTTTTCTAACTCTTATCCGGAAATATTAATATTACCATTTCTATTGACGACTGTGTAGTGCAAAATAATACGTAAGACTGACAGAGTCGCCATGAAATAACTTCGTCTATCTTCTTTTCAGCTTCAGAAGGATATTTGCCTTTTAACAATACCCCATCCCCTGTTCTATTATTCATTGAAGCTTTTTATGATGGTATGTAAAGATTATCTGCACTTTCACCCTAACATATCAGTGTTATGAGTGAGGATAACTCTTTTCCCTCTTAGAGTACTCACCGTTTCCCGAACGTCCAATATATCTTGTGAATGTCCTCTGCTTGTGTCCTATAAATTTCAACTGTCCCTGTTTGATTCAAGGTATAAGCGTCATTTTGATTCTATGTTCTCTTGCTTACCCACTACATATATGGTACCCTCAGCATCTTTCTATAGAACCCCATCTCTGTTGCCTCATGTCTCCTCTTTATATGTGGAGAAATTATACAATATGCACTGCCATACATACAGATTAATATTACGTAGTAGTTCAGCAGTCTTTTATTTGTTTCTAATAACATGTTCTTGTTTATTAATAATTTTATTACTTTTTTTGGAGGCATCCTTTTCTATTCCAATGGGCCTTCACATTTCGGCATTACACTTTCCGTCTTCTGTTAAATACTTCACAGATATTTGAACTTAATTACTTCTTCAATAATATAAATAGACGTATTTTAAACTTCCGATCTATAGCATTAATACTTACCACTGTGCACTGAAAAACGCGATTGTGTTTAAAAATATATTTTTTGTGTATGATATTTTTGTTTGCGAGGGGAAAAAAAGCAATGCGAAATTACTGACATGTCTATATATCTATAATATAATAAAGTGGAAAATTTTTTTTTCGTGAATTTCGTTTCGTCCTTTAAGTGTTCATAGAACGAAAATTTATGTAACATAAACTTAGTCTGATGAAGTCCCAAAAGATAAAACTCTTCCCACAAAAACTTTTTCCAATTTGTCATAATTCTTCTCTCACCAAATTGTTCTTGATATACAAAACGCATAATGAAACAATTTCATTATTTACATTATTCCAGCTTTTATCCTCATCTTCATTGCCAAATTGACAACGTTTCGCCGTTGTACGCTCGGGTCTTCTTCAGGTGATTGGAATTTCGAATCGAACCCTTTATTTCGTCCACAGGGTTAGAGTGTTCTAGTTACACGTGTCATGGAAAAACTAACATTTTTAATTTTGTTTACAAATATTTGTTACAAAATGAAATCTTTAGAATTGCCTTGATAAAGTCCATCTGAGGATGAAAATAGTCGACTAAGATAATTTTTTTATTTTGTCTTTATTCATATTCAACTGCAATTCTCGCCATTGAATATTTTTTAATTTCGCGCATGCGCGTTGTTTTGTTGACTGAACAGTCTAGTATCGTCAGTTGGGCATCTTCTGTGAAGAAAAGATCGCCACGACTCAATTCACTTTACCAGTAATTTAGAAACCGCATGCTGTACTTCTTCGCATTCACGCCGGATCTCCAATACAAACATGAGGAGGTAGTGCTGACCTTTCTCAAGAGGGTGGCTGCTGAAAGATCATATGTCTGGTAAAAAGGACTCTGCATACATGCCACACAAGCAGGAGCACCCAGTTATAGTTGTCAGACAATTTCTGCGACCACATCAGCCCTTACATCTGCCAACCTAACTCCCCAGACTACGATCCTCTTGATTATTATGTGTGGCGTGTAGATAAACGAGAGACGAATAAAACTCCTTGTAACACAGAAGATGAACTGAAGGCAAGGATTATGGTAGCATTGAGCAAATCAAACAATGAGACTATACTGAAGAGATGCAGGTGATCTTGGTTGAAGCCAGTGGCGATTTTACTGAATAAATTTACTCTTTACTATTTCCAGATACGTTTGTGTAATTTTGGTAGATATATCTGTTAAAATAAGATGTCAGCGTTATTTTCATTTTTGTGTAATTTAGACGACAATTTATCAATCGCACTATATATATATATATATATATATATATATATATATATATATATATATATATATATATATAATAGCAAAAGAAAAAACACCACGTTGGGTGCATAATCCGGAGTTCCTTAGTACTTTGTTTTTTATTTTTAAGAAGACAGTGCTCCATACAAAAGTAGAGGCTTTATTATAATAATATTTTTTGTTTAAAAATTATTTTAAACAAAAAAATTATATATATATATATATATATATATATATATATATATATATATATATATATATATATATATATATGTTCCAAAGTGTATATATAAATATAAACAAAGATCCCCATATATTCTATTCAATTGTTTAAACAAAATGTTTTTTATTATTTTTTCTATTTTTTTTTACATGTTCCATAATCTGTCCCCTGAAAATGATGTAGCTTTTAAAACTCATTTATCCATCTCAATACAGAAAAATATTGTTTATATATATATTTCGGCATATATCATGTATTTATTGAATTTTGTTGTTTGCACTTAATATTATTATTGCGCTCAACTCTTGGATGTTTTGGCCGAATGATGATAATCACATCTCAGTTCCTACCTGCAGCTACACTACACTTTCATATGCTGTGTCCCAACACATAAACAAAATGGTTCTTTTCCTTTTTTGTAGCTCTTAATTTTTTTTGTCTGTTCCATAATTTCTCCTCCCTGTCCCTTTATGTAGCTCATCAAAATGTTATTCTTTTTCTCTTTCACCATTGAATAAAATATCAGACTTTCTTGCTCTCCTGTCAATATCAATTTTTCTTGCCGGCCTGTCAATGTCTGTATTTTCTTGCTCTGTCCTGTCAATTGTTTTCTTGCTCCGTCCTGTCAATATCAGATTTTTATTGCTCCGGCCTGTCAATATCAGATTTTCTTGCTCTGTCCTGTCAATAACAGATTTTCTTGCTCCGTCTGTCAATATCAGATTTTTCTTGCTCCACCTTTCAATATCAGATTTTCTTGCTCCGGCCTGTGAATATCAGATTTTCTTTCTCCTGTCAATATCAGATTTTCTTGCTCCGGCCTGTCAATATCAGATTTTCTTGCTCTGTCCTCAATAATTTTTCTTGCTCTGTCCTGTCAATATCAGAAGCTCTTGCAAGCCTGTTATCCGATTTTTTTGCTCTTTCCCTCAATATCAGATTTTCTTGCTCCGTCCTGTCAATATCAGATTTTCTTGCTCCGGCCTGTCAATATCAGATTTTCTTGCTCTGTCCTGTCAATATCAGATTTTCTTGCTCCGTCCTGTCAATATCAGATTTTCTTGCTCCGGCCTGTCAATATCAGATTTTCTTGCTCCGTCCTGTCAATATCAGATTTTCCAAGCCCTCCTTCCTGTCAATATCTAGATGTTTCTTAGCGCCATCTCGTCCTCCCAGTATGAATATCAGAATTATCTTGCTCATAAAGATACCTGAAATGAGTCCTGTCGCCAATAAAAAATTTTCTTTCTCCGTCCTGTCCAGGTAACTTTGCCTTTTCACCTGCCTCTTTTTGGTGTTCTTATCCCACTTATCCAAATCAAGGGACTGCCTCAGATGTTTCAATTGCTCGCCATCTCAGTCAAAATGGTCGTATTCACATAAACCTCATTATTATTATTATATCATTAATCGACAATCTTCTTGCGATGCTCAAGATCACCTGAATGAGGGTGAATATCATGAGGGATATGTAGGTCACCAACTCTAAAAAGGTTGAGAAATAGTTGTTGCACTGATTCGTTTTTTACTCATCAACCCTTTGCCCAGAAAATATTTTTTTTAGATTGTTTTTTTTTTAAATAATAATGCTTTAGTGATACAAAACTTACTAATTAACCCATACGGTGTTCTTATATCCATATCAACGTTTGCGTTAACAATTCGAGGACCATTATACATTACACCGCCTGCATCAGGTGCACAATGTTTCCTAATGGTCACCCATCCAGGCGATTCGGTGATCTCGTGTTTCAACCTGATGCGATAGTAAAATAGTCTGGTAATTCACATAAAGTTCTGGGTTAACCATGGGATTAAAATTATTCTTATTATTCGTGAACGGCACATGGCGGCTCTTGCTGTGAGGGCGTATTGGGATTATGATAACTCGATTCACATAAATGGTTTACGATGGAAATCAAGCCACTCACCACGGGGTTGCTGAATGAGGCTAAACGGCAGGTGAATATCCTGAGGATATGACAGGATCTACTCTTGGTCTGTTCTGTCTCTTGTAACGGTAAAAATATATGCAGATCAATATAGCCGCCATGACACCCAGTTAAATAAGAGTGTACATGCCTCACAGCCAAATGTGCCCTACATTTTATCAGGCTTTGAAAAATAATGTTACGCATAATATTGCAGGTGATAGCCACTTAGAATTACATTCAAATTGGTAAACAACGCCATTCAGAAAATCCCCAGTTAATAATGTTCCCTATTATAGAAATGTGACTTCCTAGTCGTCTTGGCTGCTTCATACACCCTTGTACAAATTAATTGAAACAAAACGAATAATTCTGTTATTATTTACTTTTATTCGTATTTTTCCAATGAAACATGGCCTAATATACATGTTACTACTTCGTATGTCCATTCTACGACGTTGTTCCTTGCAGATTGACCACAGATTCTTGATTGAGAGTTTAGGAACCAGTCGAGAGTACTTTGATTTACTTACTGGTAAGACACGGTAATGTTACATTTTTTTGTAAGGTTCCTTGGCTGTAATCAACAGTCGAGACAATAGTGTTTGGGAGTGATGAAAATCTGATGCAATTACGGATGACGGAGTATTTTTCAAGTGCAATCAAATTTCCCCGAAAAAAGATTCATGTTACTGCACACTACTGCAAATGGCCTATTCTGAGAAAAAAGTAGAAACTGATTACACCCTGTCACTCCAGTGGGTCTGAAACTGACTGTATGTTG